CAGTGTGCTTGGTACAGTGCATCTGGTCCCAGTGTACTTGGTACAGTGCGCCTGGTTCCAGTGCCTCTGGTTCCAGTGCCTCTGGTTCCAGCGCGCCTGGTTCCAGTGCACCTGGTTCCAGCGCCTCGGATTCCAGCACCTCGGATTCCAGCGCCTTTGGTCCCAGTGCGTCTGGTTCCAGTGCGTCTGGTTCCAGTACGTTTAGTATCGTTGTTTAGTGAAATGTTGGGGTCCTGAGAGTTTTGTGAGACAGGAATGTTAAGAATTACAGTACGTTGATGAATTCAGAAATAGATCAGCAATGGTCTATTTGAAAGCCAGAAGAGGCTGAGGGGCAGATCAGCCTCCTCTGATTTTTATTTTCTTACATGCTAGATTTTTACAACACCTCCGCCTGACATGAATACAGCCTATTTAGAAATGGAGCTCTGATTCCCCATCTCTCTTCCCTCTTTTTCTGTATCTCCCTCTGTCAGTTTCTCTCTCCCTTTCTCTCTCCCTATCTCTTTCTCCCTGTCAGTGTCTCTCTGTCGCTCTCTCCCTGTCAGTCTCTCTCTATCTCTCTCTCTCTGTCTCCTTGTCTATTTCCCATCCATTCTGTGAAAATGGTCCTCACTCTGTAAAGTGTGAAACTGTATCATTCTGATGACAGAATTCTGACATTTCATAATCGTTATTTCTGCCAGGTTCAGTCTGTGTTTTGCATTCTCTGAAACAAATTGGAAACCCTGTGGTATATTTTTGAGTTTGGTTGAGATTGGTCTTCAGGTAGCTTTTCTGATGGATTCAATGGGACAAGAAATGGGAGAGGCATTTAAGATATAGCTCGACGCCAGGTTCCCAGTTTGCTCTTACAGTGAATCCACATAACAGCAATCCCTTTTCTGTTTCAGAGCCAAGACTGTGTGGAGGAGGCAGAGCGAGCTCAGGTCCAGCAGCTGATTACCCAGCTGGCACCACAGCCAACTTCCATCAGTGGCACATCTGTTCAACACTCATAATAAACTGTTCCAAAAACATTATACATTCTCATTGTTGGCATCAAACACACCCAGGACAAGGACAGCACAGGGCTGGATATAAAGGAAAGCTCCCTCTACACTGTTCCTCATCAAACATTCCCAGAACAGGGGCAACATGATGGTTAGATACAGAGTAAAGCTCCATCTACACTGTCCTTATCAAACACTCCCAGCACAGGGACAGATACCTCTACACCGGTCAGACATTGCATTTGGAGAGTTGCAGTGTGACTTAGGAACGGTATACTCAGAGTGTGTTTTGGGCCCTCGCGGTTGGGTTGATTTTACGTCACTGTGGACTGAGCACTCAAAGGTTGGGATTAGCAGTGTAATGATCAGGGGTCGGGTGATCAGAAGTGGGCATTCGGCACTTCTGGCTGAGGATTGCTGTGAAAGGTTACGCCTTATCTTTTGCACTGATATGCTGGGCCCTTCCATCATTGAGTGAGTTGTTTAATTGCCCACCACCATTCACAACTGGATGTGGCAGGACTGCAGAGCTTAGATGTGATCAGTTGGTTGTGGGATCACTTAGCTCTGTCTATCACTTGCTGCTCTCACTGTTTGGTGTTGAAGTAGTCCTGTTTGGTAGCTTCACCAGTTTGATACCTCACCTTCAGGTATGCCTGGTGCTGCTCCTGGCATGTCCTCCTGCACTCTCCATTGAACCAGGGTTGATCCCCTGGCTTGATGGTAATGGTTGAGTGGGGGATATGCCGGGCCTTGAGGTTACAGATTGTGCTGGAGTATAATTCTGCTGTTGATGGCCCACAGGGCCTCATGGATGCCCAGTCTTGAGTTGCTAGATCTGTGCAAAGTCTGTCCCATTTAGCACAGTGATAGTGCTACACAACATGATGGAGGTTATTCTCAATGTGAAGGTGGGACTTTGTTTCCACAAGGGCTGTGCGATGGTCACTCTTACCGATACTGTCATGGACAGATGCAACTGCAGCCGTAGATTGGTAAGGATGAGGTCAGGTATGTTTTTCCCTCTTGTTGGTTCCCTCACCACCTGCCGCAGACCCAGTCTAGCAGCTATGTCCTGTCGGACCCGACCAGCTCGATCAATAGTACAGCTACCGAGCCACTCTTGGTGATGGACATTGAAATCCCCCACCCAGAATACATTTTGTGCCCTTACCATCCACAGTGCTTCCTCTAAGTGTTGTTCAACATGGAGGAATACTGATTTATCAGCTGAGAGAGGACAGTATGTGGTAATCAGCAGCTTTCCTTGCCCATGTTTAACCTGAAGCCATGGGACTTCATGGGGTCCAGAGTCAATGTTGAGGACTCCCGGGGCAACACCCCTGTCCAGTGTGACCCTGAATGTGGTTAAGGGATGTTACATTTTGCGAGTGGGTTTGGGATATCACTCAGAGTGTGAGAGCTGTCACTGTTGCTATGTGGTTTCGGACAGGGTGTGAGTTAATGGTGTGAGAATGGAAAAAGAGTGCTGACTATTGAAACATTGCTGAGGTTGCTCTGGTGAGAAGAACAGGGATTGCATAATGCGCAGAGATTTTCAAACAGGAATTGAGAGCAGATTCAGAAATGAAGAGGGAAGCGAAAGTTGATAAATTGAACATCGTCAGCAAGGTATCATTTAAAATTTCTCTGCAAATGGATTAATTGCCAGTGCCACACATTCATTCCACAGCCAGCAACAACAACAACAATGTGTATTTATATGGCATATTTGACAGAATGAAATGTTCACAGGAATGCGGTGGTCCAGACAAAGAGACACTGGTCCCAACTGACAATCCACAGAGCATTTTACAGGCCATAAAGGAACTAAAATGAGAGATAAGTAGAGAGTAAGAGAGTGAGATGGAGCAAATTCTGTAGCTTTGAGCCTGGAAAACTCTGAAGACATGGCACAGTAAAAATGTTGAGAATGGAAACAGGAGTGGGCCTTTGGCTATTTGAGCATGCTGGAATTTTATGGGTTTCTGTAAGAGCCTCCTCGGATTTCTAATTCCAGTGAATCTAGTCTTAACATCCAGTTTCTCTTCATACATCAGTCCTGTCATCCCAGGAATCATTCTGATGAGCCTACTCCCTCCATCGTCAGAACATCCTTCCTCAGAAAAGGAGACCAAAACTGCACACATTATTCCAGATGTGGTCTCAATAAAGCCCTGTATAACTGCAACAACACATCCCTGCTCCTGTACTCAAAACCTCTCGCAATGAAGGCCAACACACCATTTACCTTCTTTACCGCCTGCTGCACCTACACGCTTACCTTCAGCGACTGGTGCACAAGGACACCCAGGTCTCGTTACACATTCCCAGTCTTTCGCCATTCGGATAATAATCTGCCTTCCTGTTTGTGCTTCGAAAGTGGATCACCTCACATTTACCCCCATTATAATGCATCTGCTTTGCATTTCCCCACTCACTCAGCTTGTCCAATTCACACTGAAGCATCTCTGCATCCTCCTCACAGCTCAACCACGCACCCAGCTTTGTCTCTCATGCAAAATTGGAGATATTACATTTAGTTCCCTTCGGTTAATCACTAATATATATTGTGAGTAGCTGGGGTCCTAGCACTGATCCCTGTGGTACCCCACTGATCACTGCCATCCACTCAGAAAATGACCCACTTATTCCTACTCTTTGTTTCCTTTCCACCAGCCACTTTTCTGTCCATGTCAGTACACTATCCCTAATCACATAAACTTTAATTTTGCATGATACTTTTTTAATGTGGGACCTTATGAATGGCAGAGCAGGGTCCATGGGCCAGGTGACCTCCTCCTGCTCCTATTTCTTATGTTCTTATCTTCTTATGTTACCATCACTGAATCCCCCACTATCAACATCCTGGGGGTTACCATTGGCCAGAAACTCAACTGGACTCACCACATAAACACAGGGGCTACAAGAGCAGGCCAGAAGCTGGGAATACTGCGGCAAGTAACTCACCTCCTGACTCCCCAAAGCCTGTCCCACCATCTACAAGACACAAGTCAGGATTGTGATGGAATACTCCCCACTTGCCTGGACGGGTGCAGCCCCAACAACACTCAAGAAGCTTGACACCATCCAGGACAAAATAGCCGCTTGATTGGCACCACACCTACATGCATCCATTCCCTCCACCACCGACGCTCAGTAACAGCAGTGTGTACTATCTACAAGATGCACTGCAGAAATTCACCAAAGATCCTCAGGCAGCACCTTCCAAACCCACGACCACTTCCATCTAGAAGGACAAGGGCAGCAGATACATGGGAACACCACCCCCTGCAAGTTCCCCTCCAAGTCACTCACCATCCTGACTTCGGAATGTATCACCATTCCTTAAGTGTCACTCTGTCAAAATCCTGGAATTCCCTCCCTAGTAGCATTGTGGGTCAATCTACAGCAGGAAAACTGCAGCGGTTGAAGAAGACAGCTCACCAACACCTTCTCAAGGGGCAACTAGGGATGGGCAGGAAATGCTGGGCCCAGCCAGCGATGCCCACATCCCACAAATGAATAGAAAAAAATGTTATCAAAAGTCTTCTGAAAGTCTAGATAAACCATGTTGACTGGCTCCACCACCAACCCGCCACCGCCCCCACCCACCCCCCCAACCACCCCACCCCCACCCCCGCCCCACCCCGCACCCCTGATCAACTCTGCTAACTACACCCTCAAAAAATTCCAATAAATTTGTCTGGTACAATATTCCCTTCATAAATCCAAGCTGATTCTCAACAGAAAGACAATTGAATTTAAGAATGCTCAAAGGACAGAAATAGAGGAATGCAGAAATCCCAGCGGGATTGCGGTGCCTGAGGAAATTCCAGAGGTTGGGATGGATCAGGAAACAAAGGCATTTGTAAATCAGGATCAGAAGTTGCTGGAACCAAAGTCAGTCAGTGAGCATGAGATGAGATTAAGAAAGTAGGAGGAAGTTAGCAGGGTATTAAAATTGAGATAACAAGGTGTAGAGCTGGATGAACACAGCAGGCCAAGCAGCATCAGAGGAGCAGGAAGGCTGACATTTCGGGTCTGGACCCTTCTTCAGGAAGTATTAAAATTGTCAGGTCTCCAGGGATTAGGGATAAGAGTTTCAGCTATGCATGGCCTTCAGCACAGGAGAAAATTGGGTGATACAACGTTTTCCAAGTAATTAAAGCAACAAACTCGATCTCTTCACTCCTTTAAAGGTTTGCTTAGCTATTTTCCCAAAGGATTTGATTTTAGTAAAAGGTATATGACCTACAGCACACATTAATCTGTTGAGTAGACTTTCCAAGTAAACACATGTTAATGCGTCTCAATCCAAGAAATGTCCAAATATTCCAAAAACTTTCAACAGTTCCCAGAAAGGCCTTAAATATAAATTTGTCTTCCAAACATGCCCCACCCCCAAGTCTCTCCCCCACCCCCCCCCCCCTCTCCCCCCCCCCCACCCCCCCCCCCCCCCCCCGTCTCTCCCCCTCTCCAATCTCCCCACACCCCCCAAGTCTCTCCTCCCTCCAATCTCCCCACACCCCCCAGTCTGCCTCCCCGCATCTCCCCATCCCACATTCTCCACCTCTAACAGAATTACAGATAACTTTGGCACAGGAGGTGGCCAGTGGCCCATCATATCCATACCAGCTGTTCAAAGAGCATCATGGCTTATTGCCATTTTCCTCTGGAGTTTTTTTCCATGCCTTTGCACATTGTTCTCATTTAAATAACCATTCAATACGCTTTTGATTGCGTCAACAGAATCTGCCTCTACCACACTTCCAGACAATACATTCCAAAGCCAAATTACTCATTGTGACACAAAAGAAAACTTATTCTCACATCACATTTGCTTCTTTTGAAAATCACATTAAATCTGTGCCCTCTCGTTCTTGATCCTTTTACAATCAAGAGCAGATTCTTCTTATCTCCAATATCCAGCCCCCTCATGATCTTGAAAACTTCTGTCAGATCTCCTCTTAGCTGCCTTCTCTCCACGAACACTTCCATCCTCTCCAATCTACCTTCACAACTCA